TATAATTTTTTTTTTTTTTTTTTACATTTTGATGATCTTCTTTCTTATCTTGCTAAACTCAGTTATTAGTTCTAGGATTTTTTTTGTAGATTCCTTGAGATTTTCTATGTAAACAATCATGTCACCTATGAAGAGAGCCAGTTTTATTCCTTCCTTTCCAATTTATATTCTTGTTGTCTCTTTTTCTTGCCTCACCACACTGGCTGGGACTTTTAGGAGTGGTTCCTGATCTCTGGGGGAGAACAGTTTTTTACCATGAAGCATGATGTTTGCTGTGGGCTGTTTGTAGATGCCCCACATCCAGTTGAAGAAGTTCCCTTTTAAGCATGCTGAGAGTTTTTGTCACGAGTAGATGCTGAATCTTTGTCAGATGCTTTTTCTTCACCAATTGACATGACCATGCGGTTCCCCTTTAGACAGTGAACATGGTGGACTACATTGAGTGACTTTTGAATGCTGACCCAGCCTTCCATCTCTAGGATAAACCCCAGGTGGGCACCAAACCTGGGGAGTTTTAGCCATTATTTCTTTGAGTATCTCTTCTGCACTGCACTTTCTTCTTCTGGGACTCCAACAACAGACGGCAAACCTTCTGGTGTTGTCCCACAAGTCACTGAGGCTCTGCTCAACTTTGTAACTCTTTCCTGTTGTTCATATTGGGTAATTTCTATTGCTTTCCTTTCAAGGTCATTGATTCTTTGTTCTTCATCTCCATTTTGTTATTGAGTCCACTCAGTTTTTAAAATTTCAACTATTGCATTTTTTTTCTTATATCTCCATTTGGTTCCTTTTTATTTCCTTTTTGGGGGGTAGTGGCTAACAGTTTCTATCTTTTTTGCATCAATACCGTTTGCCCTTATTTTGGAGAACATTTTCATAACAGCTGCTTTAAAGGAAGTGTCTGGTTATTCCAACATCTGTGTTGAGATGTTCCTGGTTCTTCACATGATGATTAATTCTGGATTGTATCCTGGATATTTTGAATATGATGTTATGAACATTTAGGTCTTGTTTAAATCCAGTGGAGAGTGTTGACATTTTTGTTTTACCAGACTCTCAACCAGGTTGGATTTAGGTGGCAAGTTTTGACTAGCCTTCCATAGGTTATAGTTTCAATGCCAGTTCCATTTTCAAAGCCTCCTCAAGTGGGTCCTCTGTGGACACCACCCAATGTCCAGTCTAGGACTCAGTCTGTGGTCTATCCCTTGGACCACTTCTCAGAGTCTTTGGCGTTTGCTAGAATCAGATGTGTGCGTGCACAGCTCAGCGGTTAGCTGTTCATAAACAACTTTTAAGGGCTGCTTTCCTGAGCTCTTCCCTGTTTTCTCCTGGTGATTTCCAGTTCATCGGGCCTCCCCCTCTCGGACCTCTGGCTAGACAGCTGAGATCTTAGTTACTGCCTTCTCCCTCACATTTCCTGAAAGGTATCCAGATCTGGGCCCAAGCAGCAGGAAGGCGGAGGAAAAAGAGCAACCGATTTCACCCCCTGCCCCCAGCATCCTGGGATTACAGCTCCTCTGATCAGAGAGGAACGTCTCCCTTTTTCAGTTTTAGGTGCTTGGCGACCCCACTGCTGTCACAGGCGGTACCACCACCACTATAGTGGGGCTGCCTGCGGTCTAAGGCACGAGGGAAAAGGGAGGAAAATAAAACCAACCTTTGGAATTTCCCCCTCTGTCTGAGTCTCAGAGCCCTGTCCCCGCCCCAGAGCCATAACTAGACGTCTTCTGGAATTCTCTCTGGCTGTCCCCTAACAGGCACTGCTGGGTTTGGGGCCTTGCATTGAGGACATGGGATACCAGAGGAAAAAATGAAAAATTCACTGCCAGCATGGTATTGCTTTTAATTCTGGTCTCTTCCCCCAATCTGCCTACTACTCTTTATATTTCAGAGTCCTCAAATAGCTGCTAAATGCACTTGTCCAGGCCTTTAGCTGCAGCCAATGAGAGAGATTTCTGTCCATGTATCTTGTACATATATCCTGGTACATACAGACGCATCCATTTCTGTAGGGAATATAGCTACGAGAGGAAGTGCCAGCTCATGAGGTATGTGTATATTCAAATTGTGCTAGATACTACATAGTCTTTTCTAAAGGGATTGTAACCAATTTACCCTCTGACCAGTGGAGACCCAGAGTTTCCACTGTCCCACATCCTCACCAATACTGGAATATGGAGCATTTCAAGTTTTGCTACTTTGGTGGATGTGCAGTGGTATCTCAAGGTAATCCTAATTTGCCTCTCCCTAGGCAGCGATGCAACCGAACACGTTTTCATAAGTTTATCAGCCATTTGGATTTCCTCTTTCATGGAGTGCTTACTCAGGCCTTTTGCTTGTTTTGATACTGGGTTGTTTCTTTATTCCTGTTGATTTCTGTAGCTCTCTGTTCTGGAAACACACCCTTTGTTGGCTGTTCATGTTATAAATATCTTTTTTTCACTCTGGATCGCCTTTTCATTCTCTTAATGGTGTCTTCCTGGTGAATGAGAAGTTCTTAACTTTAATACATCAAAAGCGATCGATCTTTTCCTATAGCAGCACACACAACTTTTGTGTCTATTTAAGAACTTTCTGTCTGTCCACTCTATCTTAAAGTGATCTCTCTTGTCTCAGCATTTGAGTGGAGTATACCTCAAGCATACAAAGTATGAAAGAGCAAGATAGCAAGGGAGAGAGTATGAGCTCTAGAGGTGGACAGATAAGAGTGGTCCTGGACAGGTTACTTTACCTTTGGGAGCATTAGTTTCTTTTATCTGTAATCAAAGATACACTATCCACCTTGCACGATGTGTATAAAGCACCTACCACAGTGTTGGCACATAGTAGGCCCTTAGTAAGCAGTGGTAGCAGTGATTATAGTCTCTGAACTCACCTCTCCCCTTGCCCACATGGCCACAACTGCCAAAGCCTCAGGGCTGCTCTGTGAAACACCAATCTGCTGCATTCAAGGACAGCTACACAGCTTCAATTAACTGCCCTCAGCAGGCCAGCAAAGTCTCCCTGTTGTTCACAGGCAGCACCCACCACCAAGGCCCACTATCTCCAACTAGAAATGCAGGCTTGATGCCCGGAGATGCTCTTCTCACAAAGGAGGGTCGTCCTGGGGCTCCCATACGAACGTGATGTCAGCCAAGGTGAAGAATCAAAACGACGTCTCTTTCTGCTCACCGCCAAGCTCCACTGAGCCGGAGTGATTTGGTGTCAAAGGTGACTTGTATGTCCATCTGTGGGTCCCACATTTCGACACAGGGAAGAGAGGCAGCATGATGACATGCACGTGGGTTGGCACAAGTACACAGTAAAGTGCACACCCTGGAGGAGGTGTGTATTGGGGTACATGGGATGTGCGTGCAAACGTGCAACAGTGTATGTCCGCAGGAAGCCGGGACACTCTCCTCAGCCTAAGGTTTTGCTGGAGAGGCCGGATAATTATCTACTCCAACATACCCAGAGCTCCGGGCCTCTTAATGCCCTCTGCCCCACCCTCTAGGCCGCAATCTGTGCTCAGGAAACAGATTCCTGTTCTATGGACCTGGATGGATCTGAATGAGGAAGGAGCATCTACTGCAAATTCTTTAAGCAACTGGCAGAGTCTTCTAGATGCTACATCCCACTTCTTAGACCACAAGTCTCCAGAAAAGCTTCGTAAGACTTTCCCACAATCCTGAGATATCCCACTGCCCTTCCCAGAGACCCTCCCTCCCCCACCTCACCAGGCTCCACTTCAAATGTGGCCTAGTGCTGAGTGCAGAAAGGACAGAGGGGGGAAGATTGGTACCTGCGCCTAGTGTTTGTCCAGCGGAGTCAAAGGAAAGAACCACTGAATCTGCAACACAAGAGGACAAGTTCATTTCTTTCTCCTTGCTAGAGTTAAAAAGCCAAAAAAAAAAAAAAAACAAGCTCCCACTGACTCTGCCCAAACCCTCCCCCATGAGGGAAAATCAACTGGATTGGAACTCAGCTGCATAGACAGCCTCCACAGGCCCATGCCCACCCATCCACTGGGCCAGGAGGCCCTACCGAGCCCAGCCCCTAGCCTCCCACCACTGGGAGGAACGTCTCAGGGCAGAGACAGGACTCGAATTCTTCACAGGCATTTCCTGCAAAACTAGGGGACAAATTTACTTTTTTTTCCCCCTTCTTATAATGAAAATAAAATTAAAACAATGCAAAAGAAAACTCTTCTGCAGCTGGTTAAAGGCACTAACATTTCCCTTTGACTTCTCCCTTTCTTTTCCTACTCATATACCCAATTTGTTTATTATTTCTTCCCCAGAAGGGCTTAAAATGGCCTACAGGAATTTACAGGACACACTGGAATTTTTTAAAAAATGAAGAAGTCAAGAAAGGAAAAATATTACATAGTCCGGGGAATGTTAGTGCACAAAACGCATGCCATGAGGACCTGTGCACATGCCACAGGTGGAATCAAGAAGGCCTGAGCTCCCAAACTGCCAAAGGAAAGGAGAAAATGAACAGTCACAAGATTTAGTACCCACAGCACATTCATTCATTTGACCAGTCAGCAAATATTTATTGGGCATGACAATATGCTATGACTTTGAGATACAGCCACAAACAAAAGGGCATGGTCTCTACCCTCACAGGTCTCCCTGACATCAGTCTAAGAGACAAAAAAAAAAAAAAAA